AACACTGTTGAGGCAGGTTTGGGTCATTTTGCTGCATAGCCATGTTTTCAGCCTCCGGAGGCTGCTGAAACTCCTTTCTGACTCCGCTGAGGACATAGGCACAACTAGGAGACAAGCAACTGTTTCAATTTGGTTTTCTGCATCTTAATACTGCATGGCAAAAAAAGACAGTAATAAGTGGTTGGTCAGACAGGACTGTGAGACTGCTTAAAAAATAGCCTACTTGCGCTATCATCATACAGCTCCCTATCCAACTTTGTTAACAACGTAATACTAGCTGCTGAGGTGGTGAACAGGGTACAGGATGGGTATTAAGTATTTATCAGCAGATATTCCATTGTGACGGCGCATTTGGCTTCAATAATTTACTATGATGCAGTGTTGTTCACATTTCCTCACCTTCAGACTGCTCCATAACGTTTGTTTCTCTACACCGTCTCCTTAGCTATCTCCAGTCGTTCTGAATGCTAGCATACCGATTTATGTTTGCCTTCTTAAAATTCTAATATGGACTAAGAACATTAAGTCTACACAGGCACTCGTAATCCAAACCACTCGTATATCAAAGCGAATTTCCCCATAATAATGGAAACTTCATTCCACACCCACTTATCCATATAAAAATGATTACAGTAATACAAAATACAGTACAAAGTAAAAATAAAACAAATGAACTCGCACTTTACCTCTGAAAAGAATCGTGGCTAGCATGAGGCTCATTGTTGCAAGATTACAGATATTGACTATACAAGTTAAGCGCGAGAACCATCGGCTCTGCTGTGACATACATCACGTGATGCTCGGCAGACAAAGCGTACGTACTACTTGTATAGTGAGACCTCGCTCGTATATAAAATCAAAATTTTTTTGCTCACCTTGCAAAACACTCGCAAACCGGGTTACTCGCAATACAAGGTTCCACGGTAGTGTTATCTGTGCACATTTAGACTCAAAGGCATGCTAAGCTCTTGCTGTTTTACAACAAAGACAAATCAGCATAAGAAACCTTGATCATATATCTGATAAAACATTAAGCTTAAGGCATGACAACGTTTGGTAGTATATTTAAGAAAAACAGCTAATATAATAGCTGCAAAGTATGGTTATTCATTTTCACATGCAAACATGTGTGCCACTTAACAGGTCCATTTCTAATTCTGGGGGTGTAAGCAGATTTTTACCATCTGCTCTAAGTGTTGTTGAGATGTGTGCAGATAAGAGCTGAGAGAGCAGCAGGTAAACAACATGACTGTAATGGCGCTGAATAATCAGGCTGCAAAGATGAGGCACTGGCAGGGACCCTGTAC